AGAAAAACTGAGGAAACAATGACTTAAAAATTCCAAGTATTGTATAATGAAAAAACCATAAAACCACCAATGCAAGAATCTCAAGAAAACCCAAGAAAAAAACATAAAATTACAAAAGGCATACCATAATTGAATTTCTCAAAACTACTGGTAATTTTCTCATTAATGATAAAGATAAAATATTAAAGCAGCCAAGGGAAAAGATCCATTTCCATAGAGGAAGAACCAAAGGTAGGAAAACAAGTTTCCTGTCAGAAAAGATGCAAAGAAGAAGACAATGGAGCAACATCCTTAAGATACAGGAAGAAAAAAAATAGTGCACTTAGAATTCTATACTTATCAAAAGTGTCTTTCTGAGATGGTGAAATAAAAATTCCTTACAATACATGAAATGAAAGAATTCCTCACAAGCAGACCTGAATTACAAGAAATGTTAAGAAGAACCACGTCTACCTGAAGTATAATGATAGCATAAAGGAATATGGATCTACACAAAGAAATGGGGAGGTCCAGAAATGGTAACATATATAAGATATTTTTCTGGTTATTTAATTATCTTTTAAAATATTTGACAGTTTAAACAAAAATAATAACACTATAGTAAAGGGTTAATATACATTGCAAGTAGAGTGTGTGATAATATAGCACAATGGTTAGAAGGGAACAGAGGAAGTCCTGTTCTCATAAGCTCCCTGTGCTGTATGTGAACTAGTTTATCACTTCAAGGTAGGCTATATAAACTTGTATATCATAGACCTCAAAGAAACCACTAAAATAATAAAACAATATGTTATGTCAAATAAAACAAAAGGGAGATACAATCGAATCATGAAAATATAAAGTAATGCAAAATGAAGTAGACATGAGGAGCACAATCAGGTGAAACAAGTAAAAAGAAAATAATCATACTAAATGTAAATATCCTTAATACTCCAGTTAAAGTTAGACATTAGAAGAATGGATTAAAAAAAAGGATGGTGAAAGATATATATGTGAGCATGAATCATAAGAAAGCTAGAATGACTTTATTCATAACAGAAAATGTAGATTTTAGAGAAAATATATTAGCTAGGATAAAGAAGTTCAGATTGCAAAAGAGGTCAATTCATCACAAGGACTTAATAATTCTTAACATTCATGCATCCACAACAAGAGTTTAAAAATACCCAAATCAAAAACTGAACTGAAAGGAGAAATAGGGAAATCCACAGTTATTGGCAAACATTTCAATGCCACTTTCTCAATAATTAGTACAAACTGACAGAAAAACCAGTAAGTATAAAGACTGGAACAAATTCTGAACCAACTTGACCCAACTGGCATGTAAGAGGAGCTCAACAGCACCAGGTTACATGAACTTTCCTAATCAACACAAAACATCTACCAAAATCGATCCAATTCTGGGCCAAAAATAAGCCTCAATACATTTAAAATAATTCATTCATATAAAGTAAGCTATCTGACCATGATAAGTAAGTTCAGTTAGGAATCAATAACAGAATAATTTCTGGGATATCTCTAAATATTTGGAAACTAAACCATGCATGTCTAAATAACCTAAAGGTCAAAGAGGAAATCAAAAGGGAAATAAGGCCATATTTTGAATTGAAGGAGAGTAAAAACACAATAAATCAAAACTCTGGGATGTAAATATAGCAGCGCTTAGTAGGGTGACATAAGCACTAATTGTCTACATTTGAAAAGAAGACAGATTTCAGAGAAAAATCTTCCTTGAGAAATTAGATAAGATACATAACCCAAGCCAGGCCAGTCAGTTATTTCCAAGTTTCTAACTAGAGCTCAGGGGGAGGATCCTTTTTTATTTTTGCTCATGTGACTGACAGCATGTAAGGCCAAACTTTATAAAACCAAGGGTTTTGAAGAGCAGAATAATTTCTGTGGCTCCGAGTATGAGCATATATTTGTTATCAGGAGTACTTATGCCCCATAATCTGTTCTCCCTTCCACATTACTAACAGAAATCTTAATATGAATTGTCCATCCATGTGATCATAGAAAGTAAACTATGTTTCTTAGCCTCTTGTGCAGCTAGGTGTAGAAATTTATGTTCAGGTCAACAATATTGTGTCTCTTTTAAGGTTTGCTGCTCAGTTTAAGCCAGATGTAAAACAAAGAAGACCATTTACTTAGTTTAGAACTCCATGGTTTGGCTGGGCCATTCTTGTTTGCTGACATCCAAAGAAAATCAACAGGCCAATCTAGGGTTAGTGTAGAAGTATGCTACCAAAGAGCATGGCCACAGAAGAGAGATTTAGATCACTTTTTGAAAGTGTATTTTTAAAGAGGTGGGGGCACACTCTTCTCTCTTTCTACTTGGTGGACAGGAATTGGTCTTAGCATACAAATAGATTTATATACCATCACTATAAACAAACAGAATCTACACCTGAGTTGAACAGAAGTAAACTTCTTTCAGGTGCATTTTGAGAAAATGATTATAATGAACTCATTTGATAAAACTGCAAAGCCTTTTATTACTTTTAAACCACATAGAGAGGTAATATAGAGAAAGTGTAGTTTATGTATTGTGCAAACTTTTAGGTTCATGAAATGGTAGTGGAATTGTATTATCTTGTTTGTGGCAGAGTTTCTCTTGAGGAAAGATTCTGTTTTGTTGAAAGAGTTACCTGGACAAGACTGGGGTTTGCATGAATCAAGGCAATAATGGGTGTTTTTAAGCTGTTCTGTGTAAATGGTGAGAATCAGGTGTAAAATGGTAAAGTAGACATGCATGAGGGATGAGGGAAGAAGAAAAGGGAGAGAGAAGACAGAAATGGTAGTTTGTTGGAGTGCAGAAGTCTCTGAAAACCTCTAGGTGTAGGGAAACTAAAAAGATATTATAAATTGCAAAGTAAAGCCCTTGTTTTTCTTTCATCCCAAATCTTTAGTAAAGTTTAGTGCATTTTCTTTCTTATGAGAGCTCCTTTTAAAATTGAATCGTTGGCTGAGTTTCCTCTCCAGGGGGATGCAGGGCAGAGCCCTCAGGTGGCGAGAAGACTGGAAAGTAGAGGAAGAATTTTTGAGTCAGGGCGACCATGAGAATATCTGTGCACATAAAATTCTTGTAAACATAAGGAGCACTTTTTGTCCTTCAAAAGGAATGGAATGAGGGCTGCAGGCCGTCTTATCTAGATTTCAAGAGGCAGCAGAGCTGCAGGTGCTATATTCCTTGCATTTAAACAAGAATGTAACAAAATACATTGGAGACTAAGTTTTGGCACAGAATACACTTTTGTTTCTTTTCATCTTTTCATTCTTTCTTGCTCTTGATCTTGGAAATAGTACTCTTTACATGGAGAGTTATAACACATCCAGTGTTTTTCTTTGACAGCAATATAATGTATGTCCAGCGTGTGAAGCTGCTTGCCATGTCTTTGGAGAACAAACTAATACACATGAAACAACAGCAAAAAATAAGGGCTCTACTATAGGATGATGGGCTTGCAGTGTCCTAAGTGTGTAATCAAATGCCTTTTGGGTTTTCATGTTCACTATAACATGTGCCCACCAATAAATGACATTTGTTTTTGCAGGCCAAATCAAATCCCTACCTTGAGTAATGATCTGGTTTCCATGGGGCTGGAGGAGAGTGGGAGTGGGGCACACAGATAGCTACAAAGAGGCAATTCACGGTCCTTGCATAACTTTCTAGACCTATGTGTCTTTGACTTTGAAGTTTATATAAAAAAAATGTAATTTACTTTACTATCTACAACTACACCTGGTACATGTATAAACCTTTATTTTTCAGAACATTAGACATTTTAATATCAATTGTTTTATCCTCAAGTAATGATTCCAGTGAGTCCCTTGTTCTCAGATGAGGAAAAATGAGGCAGTGATCGATATCTAAAAATTCTTCAGCTTAAAAACCCTTCTCTACATCTTTGTAATTGCATTCCAGTCTCATGTGGTCTTTCTGGATATCTCTGAGATTAAGAGTAAATCACACTATATCTTCCCACGTGTAGATTACTACCCTGTGTGATAACCCTGACTTTGTATGTGTCGAACTGGATTCAGTACAAGTGACAGGAAATTAGGGATAGAAGTGCCAGTGACTTTTTAATATATTTAATTTGATGTCTATATCCACATCTCTAGTTCACGTCCTAAGTTATTATTAAATGTCTCATATTACTTTCACATTTTATATGCACGTGTTCCCCTATGAAAAGTGTTAGCTCTTAATTATCTTTCTTTAACCAACATAGTGTTATCTATATACATAGATAATACATAGATGACCATACCATACTTTGTGTATTTTCATTTGCAAATAACATCTCCAAGAGGAAGCGTACTCCTTTTATCATCTGTTATTTTGCTTGACAATGCTTTAAAACAAGTGTTTTTTTTTTTGCATTTTTATCAACAACAAATCAACACAATAAATACACTTGATGTGGGTAAGTCTACAATGAATCATCAATATGCCAAAATATTCCTAAAAGCAGAATTGCATAAAAAAAAGTTACTGGGGTCTATACCGGTAGACAAAGAATTTTATTTTAAACATTGTTAAAACCTTGATAGGATGATATTATTATAGAAAGATTCTTCCTGAATGTAAGTACCTGCATGTATCAAACAAGTTTAGATCTCTGGGACAGTGTGTGAGAGGAATAAAACAGAGAGGTGGAGTTGTAAAGAATAAATTAATTGCTGGCTCTGTTCTATTTTCAGTCTCTACATGACTATATTTTGATTTCTTTATATGGTGCTTAATGCTTAAATCCACATTTTCCCTTTAGTCATATACTACTGACTTCTGTGGGGGTTATTTTCATTCAGTTCTCTATATTCACCCTGCTGAAACTTCCCCATGTTTTGTGTCAGGAGGAAAGATACCTTATTACCTTCTTGTCTGTTTAACATTTAGAATTTTTTTCTCTTTCCCTCCCTGTCTTGTACCTAATGAGCAAGTTACCTAAAAATAGATACGTTCATCATTCGACAAAATGTTCTATCTTTCCTAGATTGGAGGCCAGTGTAATTGTAAGAGACATGTGTCTGGCAGACAGTGCAATCAGTGCCAGAATGGATTCTACAATCTACAAGAGCTGGATCCTGATGGCTGCAGTCCTTGCAACTGCAATACCTCTGGGACAGTGAATGGAGATATTACCTGTCACCCAGATTCAGGCCAGTGCAAGTGCAAAGCTAACGTTATTGGTATGTGTAATGCAAAAGTTTACAGTCACATCTCTATTACCATTGGAATAAAATTCTCCATTTGATTTCTTAACTGAAGAGTACAGCAAATTTCCTGGCTCAAGGCAGGCTGGAAAAAAATAATTTGGATAAAATTAACTGTCTAAAAATAATTCAATTAATAATTCTATTACACTACAGCTTGAAGCTTAGTTTAATCAACCTTTAGAAGTTTCTTTAGTTTGTCGATGTGTTAGTTCACATGGTCCCATACTAATAAGTCATAGAAAAAAATATAATTTACTTACTGCATAGATATTTCTTTTAGAAAATTAGTACTTTTTCAAAATGTTTTACACTAAATGAGTTCTAAGCCAACCATTTCCATGCTGTTTTCCTTAATAGACCAAAATAAATGGACTTTTTTCTAAATATTCTGTGCTACAGGGTCCTTTGTGATAAATCTTTCCATTTTTTTCTATTATATTTCTTTGAACTGTTCCTATGAAATGCAAAATAAGTCAGCGTAATTCCACAGATCATGTGTATTGCTAGGGTTAGTTATAAAGGGCCACATAATTTTAATTTTGTAATTCAGTGCCAAGCTGATTATAATAAATAGCTACCTTCAGTGTTATTTATCATTTTTTTATACAAGGCGTGCTTTCTTGTTTGTTACTCCCACAGGTATTTTTCAGAAATTAGATTTGATTATAGCAATTTATTACACCCAGCATTTTTGAGGGGGAACCATAGCCATGTAAGGACAGAATTTATCAAGTACCCGAAATGTACTGTGTACATAATGCACTTTGAAATTTTGATATATGAGAATATTATGAGAGGAACGTTTCCTGATGAAGTGGGTCTTGTATTGTGACTGAACATGTCTTGGTTCATATACGAAGTTTAAAAAGGAGCTGTACCTTTCTGTTGTCATTCAAGACACCAAGTCTTCCATGGTTTTGCTAACACTCACCTGCACCTTATAATAATAAAAACGTGCCTCGCAGTGACACACACACACAAATGCATACATGTATATATATATATATATATATATATATACGGATGGACATATCATTCTGAATAGCATTTTTATTTCAGTGATGTGACTCTAAGGCTAATTCTCTATTATATAGGTAGATATACATACATCATTTTATACAACTCAGCCAGAACAGCATTTCATTTTAATTTAATAAAAAAGAAAATGTATGTGCTTCATGACGTCACACAAGATTTCTCTGGTTTAAAGAAAGATTACATCAAAATCTTTATTATAACTTGCCCTTATGCATTCCAAGCATGCAAAAACTAACTTTTCAGAAAACAAAGTATGTAGCTTATAAAGAGAAGCACATCTTTTTATACGTGTTATCTGTGAAACTGAATGAATTCTAAGACCTTTGAATTCCATTTATATGGCATCCTTTGTTCTTTATTGTTAGATCTATTTTAAATTCAAGATACAGAAACAAAACCTAAAGAAAGGGCTTTAAAGAAAACGAAATGGTTACTTTTCTATAACAATGGGATCCTTCCTGTGATGCTTAGATTCCATAGGGAATCATGAAGAGAAGGAAAACAAAAATCAAAATTGACCTATTTACTTATAACGTGTTTTGACGTCCCTTCCATTTATATATTTTATTGGTTGATGCAGGTAGTTTTTTTCAGGAAAATAAATATTTTTTGAAAATGAAGTCAACTTGATATTATTTCTAGAGTAATTTCTGCATATGCTATGTTTTTAATAAAAATATACACTTGAAATGTATATATATTTCTTTTCCTAAAGGGATTAGCAAGTCACCTTATTCAATTTTGCCATATGAATATGAAAAGGAACCAGAAAATACAAGTGTATATTGTATATGCTTCAGAAAGCAAACTGTTCGAGTTAACAAAACTGTTAAATCTTACTAATGATTCTATCACCGGTAAAATACATTAGCACCAATAATTTTATTAAAGTAGGTCATTCATCTAGAATAAAAAGGGAGAAGAATGTGAATTAAATGCCAAGTGTGCTAACTCGCCTGTACTTGTTAACACTGAATGTGATGCCCTGTAGGCCTTCCTGAGTATCGTTAGGAATAGATTACCTGTCAGGAATATGTATGGCATATTCAAATAAGCACTGCACATATTTTTAAAACTGATATGATATGAATCCATGTAGACCAATTTTAATAGTTCAAAATGAGTCATAATTCTTGTTAACAATACAGTTATTTTTAAAATTTGCAGCAATAGTGGTCCTTTTTTATTTTCCTTATTGAAATTAAATGATATGCCTTAGGTGAGTCATTCATCACTGTTAAAGAACTTGCCTTCCATTGGAGTTCTTGAATTTTTATCCATACATATACATATATATTATGCATTTCATTCCAGTTTAGGAAATGCTTTTGTGCATATGAGTTCCTGAGTGTGTTTTTGACTTATTTTAGAACAAATTTTTTTATTGCTATTATAACTTGAAATAAATGTTTCAATTGATTCACCACCACATAGTTATTTAAATTCATGGATATGTGAAGATTATATAAAGGAAATATTTTGCATCTCAGTATTTACTGTTCAAACATTTTTTTTATTCCTTTGCCTTTAAATACTCTTTGAAACTAATGTAAATTCTGAGAGATTTAAGTTTGGGTGATAAAACATTTCTCTGTGAAATGTATATTTCTACTCCTTTAAATAGAAGAAATATAAACAGCAGAATTTACTTAGTGTTGAAAGAGGTATGTTCTGAATCATACAATATGACAAGCCATGTGATTGCTTTATGAGACAAGGAGAGCATAATTTATATTAATTGAAAATGATAAAATATAAAAGCATATAAAAGCAGAGAAATAAAATTGCCTCAGATAAGTTTTATTTATATTAATTATATAAATGTGTGATATTCAAATGTATATATTCCACTATCACAATAATAGTTATCAGCTTAACACTTTATTAAATATTTTTAAGGGTCTCTGATTTCTAGGAAACAACCAATGTGGCTATTTGTTATTCTTCTGTATGGCTTTGAAAATGAATTTCAATCTCTACTATATACTTTTAAGTGAGCGTATTTTTTTAATATGAAAAAACTAAAATAATAACTTCAGTATAGTTAAGTAGTTTTAAAATAACAGTTTTAATATTTGTTGAGGAGGAAAAGAGCTCCAGTATGTGTAACGGAAGCAACATTTCCATTAAGCATTTTTCTTTACATTGAGTAACAAATAAATAAAATTTTATAAAGCACATTACAACAATAAAGATGCCTATGAGTGCCAGAGTAAGTGTTACCATTATATTTTGACTATATGATTAGCCTTCTATGACATTGCTTGTGAGAAAACTGAACATTTTGTGACTGCATTAAATATGCTGGTGGTAGCATTGTTTGTGCTTCAGCTATCTTGAAAGCTTGAACAAAAACCTTGTCACATTTTCACCTTTTTAAACAAATTTTGTCTTTAGGGCTTAGATGCAATCATTGCAGTTTTGGATTTAAATTTCTCCGAAGTTTTAATGTTAACGGATGTGAGCCCTGCTTGTGTAACCTCCACGGCTCAGTGAACAAACTCTGCAATCCTCTCTCTGGGCAGTGTGAGTGCAAAAAAGAAGCCAAAGGACTTCATTGTGACACCTGCAGAGAACACTTTTACGGGCTGGACATCACTGGTTGCAAGGCCTGCGACTGCAGCACAGCTGGGTCCCTCTCTGGGACCGTCTGCGATGCCTGGACAGGGCAGTGTGTCTGTAAACCCCGTGTTGGAGGGAGACAGTGCAACGAATGTTTGGAGGGGTACTTCTACCTCCGGCAAAATAAATCTTTTCTCTGTCTGCCTTGTAACTGTGATAAGACTGGGACAGTAAATGGCTCTCTGCTGTGTGACCAATCAACAGGACAATGTCCTTGCAAATTAGGAGTAACAGGTCTTCACTGTAATCAGTGTGAGCCTCACAGGTACAATTTGACCACTGGCAATTTTCAAGGCTGCCAGATGTGTGAGTGTGACTCCTTGGGGACATTCCCTGGGACCATTTGTGACCCAATCAGTGGCCAGTGCCTATGTTTGCCTAATCGTCAAGGGAGAAGGTGTCATCAGTGTCAACCAGGTAAGAAAGAAATGTGTGACATTTCAGGGCACAACAGCTTTTCTTTCCTTATCTCCTATTGGGTGATTCCTCTTTGTTTCTGGGATGGAACTTCTAAAAAAATTTATTTCCAGCATCGTTGCATTGATACCAGTATTATCCAATACAGATATAAGTGTTTAGTTTGTCTAAGATACGTGGCATATTTTTGCTGCTCTATTTGGGCTGGCCCTTTCAGTGAATGCCAGCCAATCAGACATTTTATAATTGAAACCTACTTGTAATTTCCCAACTTGAAGTAAGATGATCCCCTTTTAACAACTGAAAAAAAACCTCTGAACTAAGAAAAGCAAGTATAAATTTTATTTTCTAGAAAAAAGGAAAACTTGAGTTAATTTTCTATACAGTGCCAAATATTCAGATAATGAACTAATTTTCTCAAAAAATGTTTATTAAATGGCCTATATGTTCTGCCAGCATCAAAAACATATAGAAATCTTTTTTAAATGCCATCAAGTTACTGTTCATTACCACTGCTCCCATCTTTCCATCTGTTACCCAACTGGAAGAGAGATGGACCTTATGTATGGCTTTCTCCTTGCCTTTATATGACTTGATTGAAAAATATGCCTTCTTCATAATAAGTTCATCATGATGTCATGATAAATACAAATATTTGTCAGTTGTTTAAGAGCTGTACTTCTTGTTGTCTTATCTACCAAAATCTGCTGAGTTATCTGAGTTAGTAAAAATAAGCATAATGCAAATCAAAAACGGTAATGTGCCTGCCAGGAAAGGGTAAGACCTAAAGTCCTCTTTTACATGACAAGGAATCCAGCTTAGGACAATTGAGCCATACTTCTCCTTTGACATTGATCACTATGACAAATCCAAAGAGATGGGAAAGAATTGATGAATCGTTAATCCTTTTGGAGATATTAGTATCAGAAAACAATTTGAACTAGCTCTGAACTGGACTTTATTATCCCTGGATGTCCCACAAAATCTGATAGGGAGCAGTGCAGTTGGGATTCAGGAACAAGAAAGCTCCCATTGATGTATATTCATTCAACCAGTCATTCACTCATTCCCATCCCCTTTCTCATTCACTTTGCTGAAGGTAACAAGAGCTTCTGTCTCTCTCTCTGCAGGGTTTTATGGCCACCCCTTCCACTTGAGTTCGCTTACAGTTCTAGTACCAGCAATACAGCAAGATTAATCAGCTCTTTCTTGGTTGTAATTCCATGAGGGAAATTCTAATTCATTCAGTTTTGTTAGGATGTTTATGTCTGAGCCAATTCACTATGTCCAGGAGTGTCAGGATCAGATTAAATAAACAAGGCTTCTAGGGACCACACCTTCAGGTAGGAGCAATATTGTAAGTATCACAAAAACAGGAAGATTATTAATAGCTGGGCAGATGGCCTACATGGCAGCTACAGCACACTGTGCTTTCTCAACTGCAGATTCATCCTTAAAATTTGCAGGTACCTTTTTAAATATCTTAAGATGATATTTTCTCTTTTGCTATTTATCAATATCTCTAATTTTAGAAATAAGGTACGTAGTCTCCTGTACAAATAACCATGATTTATATATCTGTTTTGTAAATAAACTAGCCAAAGCTAATAGATCAAATGTTTTATCCTTTTGAATAATTACCTATTGTTAAAGTTGATTGTTTCATTCTGTCCTAGGATATAGCTGTCCATCAGAACTAGAGATCAACTGGCTCAGGTCTTCCTGTGGGTTGATATATTTCATAGGAGAAGAAAAGAAACTGATATATTTTTTGGATCAATTTCTACTGGACAGTTTTGATTTCTAGAAATGTCTAAGAGATTCCTAGAAAGCGAATTCAAGGCAAATTTTTCAATAAAGGAAATGCAATCAAATCACATTGATGAAATAGATTGTCAGTCACAGGATCATCTCTTAACAGTATTTAACGAAATAAGGGGATTAAGGAGGAGTGGTTATGGAGTTAAATACTCATCTTCTACAGTAGGAAAACAATAGTCTAAATTTTCAAAGTTGACATAGAACAACATATGTATGTTATTCATAAACATAGAAATAAAAGCCAAAAACCTCTAAAGAAGTGGAAAGTGGCTGCTCTGGGCTGGAAGATTCGTGGGAGGATGGAGCACTGGACTGTTATTTTGCATTGTGAGCTTTTAAATTGTATTTGATTTAAAAAATGATCTGCATATAAATTTTGATAGAAGTACTAATTAAACTAAAAATTAGAATACTGGAAAATTATACTGAATCTTTTTCTTCCCTGCATGGTCTCCTCTATCTCCTTTCTCTTTGGTATTTCTCATAGTGTTTTTTTCAGAGAATACTTTCCGAGTGGCTATTTGCCTATGCACAGCTGTCAGAAAAGTCCTCTCCAAATTGTTCTCTCTTTAAGGGAGGCTATATAATGGAAATTATCACTATTACTGAAAACAGTTATCATAAAGTATTTTTTAACCTGTATAGTTATCTTATTTCACTTGTTAAAGTTGCAATATATTAAGAACAAGTATTATCATATTCAACTTGCATAGCCACCCTACTAATAATATACTTTCTTGTACATTGCATGTATTCATTAAATGGTTTGTTTAATTGAAAATATTAAGAAATAATCAGGAGTTTTAACAAGGGCATCTGTGTTAGGGTGCTCCAGAGAAACCCTCCTAAGAAGAGATGTGTATGTGTGTGTGTGTGTGTGTGTTGCCACTAAATATATCAAGTCCATGGGGGCATCTGATATGAGCTGGTTGATCTCTAGCTCAGTTGCATGATTATGTCCTAAATATTGAAGCTGTACTAAGGATTTTTTTTTTCACATGTCTGCTCTGTGCTGGATCCTGTTTCCTAAATCTTACGTGCCACTTTTTCTTGGTTTATTTGTATATGCTCCAGCAACTTGTGAAACAGAATATGGGGAGGGAATTCAAAAAGAATTTTGAATGTCCAGAATTATCTGGATACTACAGTCATAGCTATTTGGAAATTTTACTACTGTATAGAATCATTTTAACTCAAAAAACTTAGCTTATTTCACCATTATTTTCAATGCCAATTAGATTTTTGTTTTTCTTTCCTTTTTACATTCTAGACATTTCTACCATTTATTCCTCATTTCATAAAATTTCAGCATGATGTGCTTTTTGTTAAATAATTTTTACGGGCTCTCACTGGGTCCTTTTGTCTGTAGATTAGTGTTTTTGTATACTATGATAATCTATAAAACACTTTTACAGCAATATGTAGACTAGTGTTGAAACAAACAACAAGATACTAAGCCTAGCCAAGTTGACAAAAAATTAGCAATCAAGGCAGCCTGGCATATAATCCAGGTGTTCACTATAGCACTTCGTCCCTGTACCTCTTAAGTCCAAACCCTCTGGTTTAACTTCTAAAGAGAAAACGTGTCTTCTCTCCAAATATGAGAGGGAAACCCTTCTGGTTGCAGAGGGAATTAACTAGACCTCTTGCCTGACCTCAGAAATCTTAATTCCAAGTCTTTCTTTCCGAAGTTATGCAACCTAAATCAATCAGGCTGACCTTGCCATTCCACGTGCTCAGCTTTTACTTGCAGACAGCTGTCACTGACTTCCATTTTTTTCTCCTGCTTTTTTTTTTTCCTTTTGTTTCATTTTGGGGATTTCAGAAGGGGAAAACTGTGCAATGTACTATGTTTAACTGAAAATGTTACCTAGTATTTTCTGGGTTGTAATCTTTTCAGGCCGGCTTCTTGCAATTATTCTTTGATTCTTTTTTTCTTCCCACAATCCTTGTCTCTTCCATCAAAATCAACCTCACTGGTGTCAGACTTCAAATATATCCAGAATTTGGCCACTTGTTAACACCCTCACTTACCCACGCCAGTCCAGGCTATTTTCATCTTTCTCCTGGACTATTCAAATACCCACTTAAACTCCCTGTTTCTCCTCTCTACCCTTCTTCAGGCACTTTTCAACATGCGGCCAAAGTGAGGCTGTCCAAACTTTGGTCAGATCCTATCATTCCACGCCCCATTGGTTTCCCATCATCATAAGTAAAAAAAAAAAAAAGCTCCTGGACTTGAATGGCTCATGGGGTGCATGACCCCCATCACCTCTTTGACCCCATTTCCATGAGTCTTCAGCCCATTTGTTCCTCTCCAACCCACAAGTCTGATTCCCATTCCTCAGATCGTCTGGTGCTCCTTCCCAGACCCACGGAGCGGCATCTCCATGGTGGGTGCTGTGCAGCTGGCTCCTGAATCGGTGAATCATTACATTTAAAGATACTACAGTGACATTCTCCTTTTAGGCGAGGCGTATTGCAAGGCTGTGAATGCTCTACCCATAGGCAAGATGTAGTATTTCGCCCTGCAAGGGAGGAGAGAAAACGGGGGTGCGAGGACCTCATGTCCTTTCTCTAATAACACAGGATATTCTGTATTCATATGTATGAGCATATGAAAAGGTAAAAAGAGGTTTGTGAACCTCTTTCTAAAATTGTTTTGTCCTCTATTCTTGAAGCTTTAGAAGAAGTTTTGAATTTTTTTTTCTGGCTTTACTGTCTCTTATCATGAAATTTACATGGAAAAGGACAAAACCTTATCCTGAAGTGTCTTTATCATAACCACATGTTTCCCAGGAGCCAGCTCGGCGGTATGCATATTAAAATGCACCCCTGCAATTTGAAGTTTTCATTCTACTCCTTTACACACGTCTGAGGAACCTAGATCATCCAGTGCAGGGGGAAGCTCCAAGCTAATGCGTGTGAGCAGTGGGGCCGGAGGAGGAAGTACGAGGTAGGAGGGGCGAACTAGCAGCCTGAGGACTTGTGCCTGCGTTTTTCTCCTGTCACTGTAAAGATTACTGGCCCGTACGAGAATACGGCACCTAGATTCTTGTCCCACTTTCTTAAAAAACATTATTAAGGAAGGTGCATATAATGAAACCTCATGTATTATTAACCTAACGTTACTCTGAATGTACAAGGAATAGGCTTAATTCAACTAAAATTTATAGGCA